GCCCACAGAGGCAGGAGACAGGAGGAAGTGCCCCAGCAGACGCACCCCTGGGCATCGGACAAAGGAAAGTCACCAAGATGGCACCATCTTTTTGCTTTTAATTTGCTATAAGGGTGTATGCTCACCAGAGACAGAAAGAGAAAGTAAGTGAGAAATCACTTCCTAGGGGATGGCCATGCCTTCTCCTCCATTCTCTCCGGATTTTGGACAGGCACACACATGTACCAGGAGTGGTTTTCAAGCCTCCAGGTCCAGGACTCAAACCATGTAGTCAGCCATGTGGGATCTGGCACCTTAACCAGCTGGCCCGGCACCATCTTTGAGACCTGTCAGTGACAGCTTTGCATAACACCAAAGTGCTGCCCCAGGATGGATGGTCACTAGGACAGGCATGGGCATTTTCCCTGAGAACCGGGGCCATGTGCTGGGTCCTCCCCTGTACAGGACTAGTTTCTCTGCACTCCAGCGAGGACTGGGCACCGGAGACGGTGGTGGGGAGCGGGAGGGGCTGGCGCCTCACCCCTGGCAGCTCCCAGCTTAGCTCACGTGGCCAAAATTCAGAGCACACAATCCTGTGTGAGCAGTTAAAGTTCACCCTTTGGATTAGACAACACGTGCAACTGAATTACATTATGTAAGTGCCCCGGAGTCAGACACAGACAACTAAGAAAACCAGATAGGGATTTCCAAAAATACAGACGACCACAACTCAGGGACTCTACCCTGCTAGCCCTTCAGAATAGAACAGGCACAACTGTTGGTTAAAACCTTCAGCTTAGGGGACCGGCAGGAGGCGTGGTGGTTAAGGGCGCTGGACTCCCACATGGCCAACTATAGTTCCAGACCTGGATCTGGTAGCTTGCTTTCTCACTTTCTCTCTCTCTTGCTCTGTCCCTCTCTGATCAAATTAAATAAATAAAAAAGTTAAATAAAATAAATCTTAAAAAGAAGGAACTTCAATTTAGGGAGGGCCTTCTCTAGGCATGGCAGATTCGGGGTTGAGAAGTATTTTCTGTGGTTAATAGGGGCAGGGAGGGTAACAGTGAACTTTTCTTTTGGGTGCAGATGGCTCTTGGACCAAGTTTCTGTGCTTCAACCAAGGTCATCTAACCGTAATGATACCACTGGTTGCAAAAACTGGCTACATGGAACATTATTAGAAATTAATCTCTAAGTAATTTACAGAGTTTTAGCCCCATGGGAACGGATAACCTAGACCCACAATCCATAGCAGGGGTTGATTTCTAAGTACCATTCAGGTAAGAATAAATTTATTCTTGCCTACTTTCAAGGAGAAATGGTGAAGAATCCCCTTGGGGCATGTGAAAAACCCATCCTTCCTTCCCATCAAAGCAGTCAAGTGTCTCACTTGGGGACCAGCTCAGAGGAGCTGAGAGATTCAAACTCCACCCCGCCCCCCAGGAGCCTGGTCTTCAACCTCATTCTTGCTGACCAAACTCCAGAGAGGAGCCGCCTCCCTGACAGTCCAACGGCGTTTCACTCCCGCGTTTGGGAAGGGAGACACGCTTGTTCTCAGTAGGCATCCTGGGGTGTTCCCAGCTTAGCTCATTTACGAATTCTGCGAGAAGCAGGCTGAGAGGAAACATATTTTATTTCTAGCAACTCCCTCTGTCCTGGAAGCTTCTGGAAGAGGTGCAGCACACAGCCAGGGACAAAACGATTTAAATAGAGCGTCAGGAGGACTGTTGCCAACACCTACTTCGGCTACAGTAGGGGAGAGAGAGTGCAAACGGCAAGGGCCTATTTTGAGCACCCATTTTAAAACCGAGAGGCTGCTCACATTTTCCCTTTGCTTCAGCTCTCACTGCGACACCTCCTGGACGCAGTCAACGTGGGCTCAGCTAACTGGTGTTTGGGAACAGTCCTGAGGCTCACATCAGTCCAGAAACTTCCCACGACTGCCAAGACAGGGAGTGCGTCGCCTTATCCTATGCCAAAAATACACGCATGCATCTCCAGGTTGCCTTGCTCTGGCCTCTTTCCCCCAGAGAGAACGCCATTTGTGGTTATTTCTGTCTGATGTCATCTGCAGAGAAACTGTGTGGGAGCTGCAGGATGCCCCCGCCTCCTGCAGCACCCCCACCCTTCCGAGAGGCTTCCCAGAGACGCGACTGGAGCCACTGCAGGCTGGGATGGGATTCTGCAGCACAACCTCCCTGCCACTCCCAGGACCCAGAACCGCGGCTGGAAGATCACACACGCCGTCCTCCTGCAGAGGCGCAGCCCTCTGCTGCCCACCGTGTGCAGGGGCGGTCTGCCGTGAAAAGGAAGGACACCCTGCCACTGGAGGCAAAATGGGCGAGTCTGGAGGACATTATGTTAAATGGAATGAGCCAGGCTCAGAAATAGAAATACCTCATGTTCTCGTTCAATTTCCACATGTGGACAGCGACAAAATGACCTCACACCAGTAGGCAGTTGAAGAATGACTACCAGAGGCTGGGAAGGTGGGGGGAGGGGGACAGAGGGAGGCTGATGGACAGAAACAAAATCACAGACAGGGGAATAAGGTCTAGAACAAAACGCAGGAAGGGGAGCGCAGATCCCAGTGATTAGCTGCGTAGCAGAGGAGCTGGACAAGCATTGTGAATGTTCTCAACAGAGTAATGACAATGGTCGCGATGACGGAGATGCTGACGACCTGATCTAATCACCACACCTTGGATTCTTATGCTGAAAGTCACACGGCAACCAGCAAACACGTACAATTATTAGAGTCAATGAAAAACACCCTCTATAAACCCTCCCACACAAACTAGAGTCACCACCACCGCAACGGAACGGCAGTTCGCCCTCAGTCCACCAGGGAGCAAGGCGAAGGGGTGGGAGGAGCGCTTCTCACATTCGATCTGTTTTGTGCTATTTCACCTCCTTCGAATCTGAATGCCGGCACTAATTAGACTTCCTGCCAACGGCTGCAACACACTTCGCAGGTTGCCTGGCTCAGGCCCATGCTTCTCTAATCCAGTGCATCTCAAGCTTTGCCGTAATGAGAGCTTTAAAATTCCTAACACCCAGGCCATTATCCGGACTAATTCAATCAGAACCAGGGGGAAGAGGGCCCAGACACCTTTTAAAGAAGCTCCTTAGGCAATTCCGATGTGCAGCCAAGACTGAGAACCACTGTTTTCACGGCACTTCATTCTACCAAATTATGGTTGTCTGTCTGTCTCCACGAACATGGAGACACGGGGGTTGTGGGAGTGCACACGCATCCCTTGCTTACTGTGGTAGCCCTGGCAGCATCAACAGCAGTGCCTGGCAGACACTGGGTACTCATTAAATAATCACTTAGCTAAGAGCCACATTCCTGCAAGGCCTCTGACTCCAGGACTGACGCAGGCACCTGGGCCTCCTGCCTTCCTTCTCTCTTTCGCTTGCAAAAAGCATAATGGAAAAGGGCGGCCCACAGAAGTCTGGCAACACCTAGCTCCTAGCAAAGGAGAGCTTAATTGGTAAGCTTCTGTTGTTGACTTTTAATCTCCTCTACCATAAAGGAGTAGGCCGTCCTATGCAGTGTCCCCCAAACCCCAATAAAGGAAGAAACTCCTTTGTGACAACGGGAGGAGCCGATGGCCAGATTCGATGGCTCCTGCTCTGACTGGCACACGGCCACAAGGAAGGCTTGGTTTCACCTGCACACTAGGCACGGTCATTTGAGATTGCCTATCCAGCCCAGTCTCCTATCTATGGAAACTGGAGCAGAGACAACAATGGAGCTGCCTGCAGACGGTGCGGGCAAGCCCACCACAGGGCTCTCTAGTTGTTCCCGTTATATAAATGGGGCAGGAGAGGGCAATGAGACCCGCTGGTAGGAGCATTCACTGTCCTCGCTGGGCACACTCCTTGGAGAGGAAAGCTCAGTGGGCTGAGAACCCTGGTATCCTGGGAAGAACCCCACCCACCGGCCTTTTGGTACAAACAAGGCCACGAGCAAACATCCCCCAGAACAATGCAAACAAACTGAGCCACGGCTGTGAGGAGCTTCGCAGAGAGGTGGGTACACAACGTCTGCAGCTCTGGTTACAGAGAAAAGTACACCAACAACTACCTGTTTGTTCATCTTTCCCCACGAGGTCGAGCATGCCATCTCTGGGAGTCATCAAAGTGGGGCCCCTCATGGCATGGCTTTCCTGCTCCCTAAACTTAGCCCATCAGTTGGTACAAGTTAAATGGATGTCAAATGCCCTTTAACATCTCACAAGAAGAGAGGGGAGAGGGTGATTTTGCTTAGTTTCCTTCTTTTTTTTCCTCTCCTAGCAAAGCTCACAGCTGCTGAGCAGATCCTCCAAAATAGGTTAAGTACTGCTCAGGAGGGAAAGATCCGCTATCTGAAGATGCCCTTGGGGTCTTTACCTATAGTCTAGACAGAAAGTTGGACCTCATGCTAAGCCAGGGTCTCTAACACCTTCAGAGGCAGGCCGGCTGCAGAGGGAAAGTCAGCATGGCTGTAGCCTGGAGTTAAACCAAAGGCTTAGGGATGACCTTCAGGAGCCCAGCAAGGGGCTCCTCGCCTGACCTGAAGAATGCAAGCAGGAGCAGTCCCTGCCCTCCACCACACTCTCCCTTCCTCCCTTCCTTGAGCGCAGCCCTGAGGGCCCCAGACCAGGAGTTCTGCCACTCACTGGCTGCAAGTCCTCGGGCAGGTTAACTGGTTTCCAGGGCTCAAGAGCTTCACCTGTACAATGGGGCTCACGGTCTCGGCCCCACGAGCATGCGTGAGACTCAGCAGGGACCACCCAGAAAGCGCCGTGAGAGCTGGAGCCCCGGTCGGCCCAGGGCACTAAGGCGACGACTAAGGACTGCCCAGACCCAGACCCCGCTTCGCCTCTCCGGGGATCCCGCTAGGTCTTCCTGCCCCTTTCCCCTCCGGCCCGAGGCTTCCGGCTCTGCGGGGTCGGGGTACGGGCTGCTGGCAGGGGGCCCCAGAGCCCAAGCTGTGTCCCTTGGCCCCGCGACCCCGCCCCGGGCCTTCTCACCTCCATCGGTTGATCCCGACTGAGGAGGAGGCCGCGAACCACGGCTCGAGGATGTAAA